CAACTGAGCCACCCAGGCGCCCACTTTCATGTCATTTCTGCCAAAATTGCATAACCCAAGTTTAATTACAAGGAAATATCAGACAAACACAACTGAGGGATACCTTACAAAATAACCTACCCGTAATCTTTAAAAATGTCAAGGGCACAAAAGTCAAAAAAAGACTAAGGGACTGTTCCAGAATAAGGAAATTAAAGAGCATGACAACTAAATGTAATTATGTATTTCTAAACTATGTCTATTTGCTGTAAAGGATATTATTGGAATAACTGGGGAAATTGAGGAAGGTCTGAGGACTGAACTGTGGTAATGATCAATGTTAACTTCTTGATTTTGATGGTTAGGTTGTGCTTATGCAGGAGAATGTCTTTGTTGGAAATACACACTAGAATATCTGGAGCGATATCTGGAGTGATGACGCTTCAGAGTGACAACTTACTCTCAAATAGTTCAGAGGAGAAAGTTTTTTGTACTGTACTGGAAAGCATTCTGTAAGGATAAGATTATTTAAAACTAAAAATAAAATGTAAAGTACATTTGAAAGAAACTACAAGATTTAAAAGTATCATTACAATGATTCAATGTTATAATAATGTTTCTCTCCCCTGCTTCTTTTTCCTTTCTCCTTTTCTTTCATTGCTTCCCTTCATTCCTTCTGTGCTTCCTATCTCCTTCCTCCTTCCCTCTCATTCCCTTCCATACTTGCCTTCTTTTCCTTCCTTCTTTCCTTTTCTTTGTCAGCATTATGCTTCTAATGTCACACACATAGAGCCCTAATCAATCTTCCAGGTGGGTTCAGAAAGATTCTTCATATATCCCCACTAAAAAATGGCAGATATTGTAGTAACTGCCATCCTAAAAAAAGGTATTATAGTGATAATATGTTTACTTATATGCTGTCCAAATCTCTGTTCACCAGAACCATTTGTTTTTATTAGTTGCTACTGTGCAAGTATCATTGACTAAACAATATCATGGGTTTATTAGGGTACTCAGAAATAATGATGTTTTACCAAAGCTTACCCTACCTACCTCTTACAGAAGAAGTGAAAAATATGGGAGAAAGTTCTCTGTGAACTATAAAGCACAAAAAATGTTAGCAGATTTAATTAAAAAAAAAAACAGATTACATGATTACATGTTAAAAAAAAGTTAGCAGTCATTTAATTAGAAATAAGTATTTATACAGAAATCTAGTATTAAATACAATATATCTCTGTTACAAATTCCTAACTCCAAGAAGAATTACCAACACTGATGAATCAGTATGATGCAGATTTTCTCCACATTATATAACAAAGCAAAGGTAGAAAAGTCTTTCACCTTTTCACCCTCTGTAACAATCTGGATAGCATTTGGGATGAGTCGAGCAGTTTTCTCCTTAGTCATGAAGGTTATGTTCTTTAACGCAATACAAATCTAAGCACACAAAAGAGTGAAAAATTATTAAATGGATTTTTCAGAAACATGTACAGCACAAAATACCAAGTATTACATCAATCTAATCCAGAATATTCCGTTGAAAAACCTGAAGGAATTAATAATAATAAGCAAATGCTTATTAAAAATAATAAGCAAATAATAATAAGCAAATAAAAAGCAAATAAGAATAAGCAAATTCTCTGAGAAAAACAGGGTAAGCAGTCAGACATTCTCCCCCATCAATAATTTCCTCCACAGCTCTTATCTCTAAGTTTAGGATAGAGTGTGAAAAGACATGTGGGTGTTCGTGTTCCATATTAACACATACACACACAAACAAAATTCAGACAGTCTGTCACATAAGACATGATTTTGGCAGTCAAATGGATGTATGTTCAAGCTTTTTTCAACCTGAAATCTCTTTCTCCAACTGTATTAAATATGTACAAATGGAGCTCGAGGTATTAAGAAAATAGATCACACACTTCTACAATATACATATTGTATATATATCGATTACATGTATATACAAGTATTATATACAAATATACATAAATTTACTTTGGAATCTAAAGTATACTGTTTTTAGGAGGACTGTATATATTTCTATCTACGCAATTATTTGTATCAACAAATCAAATCCAAATACGTCTTACTGTAGTTTCCCATCTGAAGATGTTGCTATAGAAACACAGCCAGTTTTCTGAAAGATAGAGACGTCCCTGAAGCAAAATGTCCCTCTGAAGAGCACAAGCATAATCTAGATACACAAGAATAAGGAACAACTTATTCACAAAAATCTGGCAACTTTATAATCTTATCCTACTTTAACACATGAAAAGTCATCGCTCTTTGTTCATTAGTTTGTTCATTCAATCACTCACTCATTCAGATACTTTGGGCACCATACACCAGATATTTTGCTGGAAACTAGCGTTACCAAACATGGACCTTGCCCTCATAGAACATTCTAGAAGGGAAGGAATACAATAAACAAATACAAAAATAAGTATAATGATCAAAGTGTAGAGAAAGTCTGAGAGACTATAAGAGGACATAGGTATGAGGGGACTGGGCAGGGAAAGAGTATATCAGAAAAAGTTCTCCAGAAAAAGTAGTCTTTAAACTGAGAACTAAAGGTCAATAAACGGTCAGCTGGACCATGAGGAAAGAGCATGTGCAAAGCCCCGTGGTAGAAAAAAAAGCACATTTAAGCAACTATACAAAGAACTCTGGGCTAGAGAAGCTGGAGAAACTAGATATGTAAGGTTCACAGGCTATGGTAGACTGTGAACTTTACAAGAAGCCATTGATGAGTTGTTTTGTTTTATTTTGTTTGCCATTGATGAGTTTTAAGTGGAAGGGCATGATCAGATGTATATATATATATATTTTTTAAGATTTTATTCATTTATTTGACAGAGAGACCCAGCCAGAGAGGGAACACAAGCAGGGGGAGTGGGAGAGGGAGAAGCAGGCTTCCTGCGGAGCAGGGAGCCCGATGCGGGGCTCGATCCCAGGACCCTGGGTTCATGACCTGAGCCAACGGCAGATGCTTAATGACTGAGCCACCCAGGTGCCCCCAGATGTATATTATTAAAGACTACTTTTTTCACACTGTGAGAATGGATTCATATAAATGAATTGGAAGTCCAGGGGAAAATTGATGGTGGCTCAGACCAAGAAATGACAGTATTAAGGGAAAGAAGTAGTTAGATTCAGAGATATTTAAGAGGTAGCATTGATGGGAGATTGGTGATTAGGTAGACCTTGGAAAAGGGTGAGGAAAGGGACAATAATTACTCCAAAAATTTTACACATTTTAAGTTAGTTTCAAAGTTGATCCTCTCTGCCTCAGCACTAAAATCCAGTTCTGGTAAATGCCACTAACCACCAGTAAGTTAATACCATGATTTAGATTTGGCTCTTTGGCTAATGTAAATAGTATGGCTAAATTATCAATAATTCAAGATATAAAGGGCTACTGTTGATGGGGTTTGGGAATATAGGTGAGGTTCGGTGGGGTGAGTTCTAGAGCCCACAACCAAGAAAGAATTCTTGAGACATCTTTGGTACAAAATGGTGGTTTATTAAAGCACAGGGACAAGACCCAGTGGGAAGAAAGAGTTGCTGTACTGGGGTTGTCAGGGGTGGCTGATTATATACTCAGGAGTTGGGGGAAGTAAGGAAAAGGGAGGTTTCAAAAGAACTTTCATATGCTAAAGAGGACCGACCTACAAGATACCTACAAGATACCAGAGGCCATCACATTGTCAAGTTAAGGTTGTTTTCCCTTCTAGCAAGATATTAACATTAAGACAGTTGGGACAGCCGGGAGCCTGCTTCTCCCTCTGCTGCTCCCCCTGCTTGTGCTTTTTTTCTCTCTCTCTATCTGTCAAATAAATAATAAAATCTTAAAAAAAAAAAAAAAAAAAAGACAGTTGGGAGAATCCTGGAAAAATGTCACACATGTTCCACCCAGGAGTGGGGGGAGGAGGGAGGTTGCAGGGTGTCAGCTTATGCTTTGTCTTCAGCTTGCCTTATGCTCGCTCACCACTGTGAGGAGATTTAGTTTAACTGATATATTTAAAAACTATATAAAGTGATTAACAATTTAGGAAAACATCGTTGAGGTATAAACCTAAAAATATTTAAATTTAATCATGTTAAATTTGTAAGCAAATACTAAAAATTGAGCAAAGTAATTCAGTCTTTCTTTCTTTTTTTTTTTTTTT